ATCAGGGTTGTGGTTGTATTCTTTGGAAATTAGTCAAATTGGCATTGATTCAAACATGCTACTTCTGCCATGACAAATATCGACCCCTTTTTGAGTTACATTAAAATTTTCATTTTTATTATTCTACTCATTTTCAATCACACATTTTTCAATAAAATAATATTTTTCATTACATCACTAACTTTTCCTTCTTTTTCAATCACACATTATTCATCAATCTACTATTCTAAAATACATTTTTCCAAAATAATGTGCCTCAAACACATTCAAAATGTGCGTACACAGCATTGACCTAAAACTAGTCTTTTGATGACTGAAAGCTTTAAGTGACACTGCACAAGTAATTTGCATATCTACACATTCAAAATGTGCGTACACAGCAAAATTTGACCTAAAACTAGTCTTTTGATGACTGAAAGCTTAAGTGACACTGCACAAGTAATTTGCATATCTTTGAATCTTCCATCCTACATTTTTCTTATAAGAAAATTGAAGTGGATCCTCGATCTTATATGTATTGTGAGAAATGGGTCCTAAGGTCCTATTTAATAGAAATTAAAATTCAGATTTTAATTTAAGTTAAAGTCAATAATTAATCTTAATCACACAACTTTTATCAAAATTTTACTAAAAATTTGATTTTTATTCCTTCCAAACAGGGACTAAGTATGCGTGACAAGATGTTTATAAATAAGGATAAATGAGTGAATGAGAAATTTATAACATTTGTGGGTAATATGAAATTTGTAAATAAATAGTGATTTGACTAAAAAAAATGTTTTTGAATCAAGATGTTTATAAACAACTAGAAACAATGAGTAAAACGTGTGCATAGTCTACAACTTTTATCGATTGTAGCGCTTGAATGAGTTGTGCTATCTTACGATGGGTAAAAGAAAAGAAAAATGCTATTCTTAGGTGACACGCTCTACCCCTGGTAAAGCTAGTGGACTCGGAGTGTGACGTGTGCCGATGATAAATACTAACTAAAAGTTGGACCCAACATCAAGGCTATTACAATGTTAAACATATAAATTATTTTAATAAAAATTTCAGCATTATCTCCCCTATAATTTGGACTAACCAACCTGTAAACAATTTTATACAACTATCAACAATAGCACCATATCAATACCAACTCATAATTATATAACATGGTATAGAGATAAGCCGAATTCTCAATACTTCTACTGTGAAAATAACATCAACTGTACATGTGAACACAAAATACATAGTGAGCCCATCTAACTATTTATAAGTGACGTGGGATGACGTACAAAAACGAACATATGTCCCAAAACACTGACTACATGC